CATATAATTTATATATAATATATAATATTATATATATATATATATATATATATATATATATATATAACCCAGCTCCTGGAAGCGTGCGGCCGCATTTGCAGCTGCGTGACATCTTATTATCTTATTTTTCCTTTGGAGAACCTGGCAGGCTACCAAAAGTATCCTGCCTGCATGGCAGAGTCTGACAAACTTCCCGTGTCGTACTCAATATGCCAAATACCAGTAACAATGATGGGTCTCATTCTCCTAATCCTGAAATAACATTGAAATGGCTCTTTTAAAATCTCAGGGCTAGGAAGGAGATGTTACTGGTGCCTGCTTGAGGCAATTGACGAACAACAGGATGATTGTGATATATATATGTGTGTGTGTGTGTGTGTGTGTGTGTGTGTGTGTGTGGCTGCACACTCCAGGAATTCTAAAATTTTAAATATGTTGATACAGCTGAGGTTGGTTAATTAATTTTTTTAAAACTGGATGGTGGGGTGGGACTGGACTGATAACACAGCGGGTAGGCCGTTTGCCTTTCATGCGGCCAACCAGGTTCAATTCCCAGCATCCCATATGATCCCCTGAGCACCGCCAGGGGTAATTCCTGAGTGCATCGCCAGGTGTGACCCAAAAAGAAAAAAAAACTGATGGTGACTTTGGAGTCTGGAGGCATCTCTGTGGCATGTTTCTCTCATGTTGCTCTCTTCTGAGAGACTTATTTGTGAGTCTCTGGATCATGGCCGTTAATGAGCTTATGTGGTGCCAGAGGCAGTTCGTGGGCATGGCTGCCAGGTTCCTGGAAGCACGGGGAGATGGGTGGAGGTTGCCCATTCCTGACTCTGTGGGAGCCTGGAGATTTCAGTCACCAACCCTGCATACCTGGGTCTTTCAGCAGATTCGCTCGTGGATGAGGCTCGTCTGAGCCCAGGCCTTTTTATTTCCTAAAGTCAACACAGTTGTTCCTGAAGTCTGATGGGAATTATCGATTTAGGAATTCCAATGCAAAGCAGAGCAGCTTGTCCGTAGAGGGAATCCAGGTGTTGTTTCTCGACCACATTCTCTGGCTAGAACAGCAGGTCACGGCTGAGGTTCAGCACACGGCCAGGCCACTCAGCCTCGTGCAGGCAGTGCCGGAGGGTCAGGGTTTACCAGCCCAGGTCTGCTGCGGTCCCGTTGGTGCTTTTCGGTCCTTGGACCTGAGGAAGCACACGCGGCTCTCTGAGCAGGTGGGCTGGCTCCGCAGAGCCCCGGCAGGCTGGGTCGCCCCAGTTTCAGGCTGGCGGATATTTTGTCTCATCCGGCTCCATCCTAAAAGAGGATTGGAACAGATGTTTGAATTTGGTTAAATGCTTTCAATATTTATTACGGAGGTGACCTAGTTTAGCAGCAATTGTAAGAGGAAAAAAAGAGAAGGCTATTGGGGAAAAACAGTTTATTGCTCTCACCTTAAAAATGGAAAGAATTTCCCCTGTTTTATTTGTTTAGCTTCAGTGGGCAAAAACAGCCTCGAGGGGGTATGGTCCCGCCAGCAGGTCAGTCTGTACCTGTGAGGCGAGTGCATCAGCAGCCTGATGGCGCCTTCAGACTTCCAGATACCCCCAAATTGCTGCTGTGCCTTTGGCCAGACCCCAAAAACTTGGGGCCAAGTTTACCAAGAAAGTAAATGGACAAAAGTTAGGTATGTGGGAGACACACCCACAAACCACCTCCAGCTCAGCTATATAATTGGAGGCATGGCTCTCTGGTTCCTGATCGAACTGCTTAACGGCCATGATCCCAGAGTCTCAGAGACAAATCTTGGAACCCAGCGGCTCTTGGCAGAGATGTGTCCAGTCCCCGCAGTAGGTAACTGTTGCTGGGCCACCCCAGGGGGGGAAGGATGCTGTCTCTCTGCCTGCTCCCCCTTGGTGGCTTGGTGGCTGCCATCCTCCAGAGGCCACTGGACAGTCAGGTTTGGGCCCGCAGGGACAAGACACTCAGGACCTCACGGGATGGGGGTGAAGCCAGCCTTTTTTTCGCCGCCCCAACGAGACCCCGAATTGCCACCCACGAATGGCCTCTCTGGCTCCTCTGATCAAGCTGCTTAACGGCCATGATCCAAGAGACTCAGGAACAAATCTCGGAACCCAGCAGGTTTTGGCAGAAATCCCTCCAGATTTAATTGTTAAAATTTCGGAGTTCCATGGCCACAGTACTACTGTGGCCACACAACATCATATATTATTCATAACCAGCAATAGAAAAACAAATTGTCTACTGTTGCCTTTTCAGCAGATCTGAGTGTTGGGGTAAAATGCCAAATAATAATGGTGGGTCTGTGGGAATATATCCCAGAGAGGCAAAAAAGTATAGTCGAAGTGACATCTGCAATTGTCTGTTTATTGCGGCACTCTTTACAATAGCCAGAATCTGGAAAAAACCTGAGTGCCCGAGAACAGATGACTGGTTAAAGAAACTTTGGTACATCTACACAATGGAGTACTATGTAGCTCTTAGAAAAGATGAAGTCATGAAATTTACATACAAGTGGTACAATATGGAAAGTATCATGCTAAGCGAAATGAGTCAGAAAGAGAGGGATAGACATAGAAAGATTGCATTCATCTGGGGAATATAAAGTAACAAAGTAAGAGATTAATACCCAAGAATAGCTGAGATCAGCACCAGGAGGATTACTCCATAGCTTAGAGGCCAGCCGGGTATCCTAGAGGAAAGGGCAGTTCAGATAGAGAAGGGAGCACCAAATAAAGGATGTTTGGAGGATCCTCCCAGGAGGGGAGATGCATGTCGAAAGTAGACTATGGACTGAACATGTTTGCCACTCAATGCCTCTTTTGCAGACCACAACACCCAAAAGGAGAGAGAGAACACAGGGGATTGCCCTGCCACAGAGACAGGGGGGATGGGGGGATGGGGGTGGGAGGGATATTATCCATGGTGGTGGAAAATGGGCACTGGTGGAGGGATGGGTATTTGATCATTGTATAATTGAAACCCAAGCACAAAAATGTGTAAGTTTGCAACAGTACCTCGTGATGTCTCACTATTAAAAATTTTTTTAATAAAAAAAATAATGGTGGGTCTGGTGTCAAAATATTGAATGTAATCAAAGTAGAGAGAGAGTAATATGGAAATCATCTGCCACACAGGTAGGGGGAGGGTGTGGGATGGGGGTGTATTGGGGTTTTTGGTGGTGGAAAATGGGCACTGGTGAAGGGATGGGTGTTTCATTGTATGACCAAGACTTAGACCCGAAAGCTTTGTAACTGTTCTCACGGCGATTCAAAAAATAAAATTATAAAAAAGGAAAAAAAAAGTAAGGTGGAGTTCACACCCAGTTCAATCAGCCTAATCAATGGCTGAATAAATATCAATACTTCTACAAAAAAAAAAACCAGCGCTGAGAGTGTCCCTTCCAGCTGCACACAGGTATTTGATGGTTGCCGCATCCCCAAGAGAACCAGCTCTGGAGACATCTCCCCAGAACTGTGCTGTCTCTCGCCTCTGGGGCTGGCCGGGAGGAGCTGCCTGGAGGGTCCCTTCTGGGAGTCCCCAGCCCTTTCGCAGTGGTTGGGGCCTCGCCAGGCCTCCCTGTCCACAGGCCAGGAGGGGCTGGGTGGGCGCTTGGAGGGGCTCGCCTATGTCAGGGAGTCACGCTCACTGTATCCTGAGGGAAGTTCTGCTCCATTGTCTCTGCAGTCTGTGGAGGTGGCCCCCAGGAGCCAGCTGTGCCTTCAGCCTCTCACCCGTGTCCCTGGCATGCTGCCTGTCAGGGCGTCGTCAGAGGCAGTCACCGCATGGCCAGACTCACGCTGTGTAGGACCACCTTGGCTTCCCCAGGGTTGTGACCTTCTTGACTCAATGACCTTCCCCTTGATCTGATGATGACGTTCTCCTGACTTGATGACATTCTTCTGACCTTAGGACCTTCCCCTGACTTGATGACCTTCTCTTGACCTGATGACCTTCCCCTGACTTAATGACCTTCCCCTAACCTTATGACTTTCCCCTTGATCTGATGACTGTCCCCTAACCTTATGATCTTCCCCTGACTTGATGACCTTCCCCTGATCAGATGACCTCCCCCTGACCTGTTGGTCTCCCCCCCTTGACCTGATGACCTTCCCCTGACCTAATGACCTTCCCTTTGATCTGGACCTCCCCCTGACCTGATGCCCTCCCCCTGACCTGGTGGCCATCACCTTCCCCAGACCAGCTGACCTTCCTCCTGATCCAGTGACCTTCCCCTGCCCCCGGGGCCTTTTGGTTCCTTGTTCACTGGGTTTTCTGGGCAGGTGTCCTCTTGTCTTTGTGTAGCTTCTTGTCTGGGTTTGCTCCCTTTCTGCTCCCCAGTCATGCCCAGCGATGCAGGGGGTATGTAAGGTCTCAGCGCCTCGGCAGCTCTGGGTACCGTCTCTGTTTGTGGTGGGACCCCAACTCCCTCCTTCCTGCTGCCCTGCCCCCCCCCCCCCCCATTCAGGGGAGAGGAGGTAGGGCCTCTGCCCAGTGCTCTGATCTCCCAGTGTGGCGCTGGTCACTGCAGGACAGAAGACCCGCCCACTGCTTGTCACTTGCTCCAAGTCCAGGTCGGCCCCTGGCGGTGACTGTGGGACCCTCAACTTTCAACGATGAAGCCCAAGGTCGCAGCCGTGGGCTGGGATGTCCTTGCCTGTCCCTCCCTCTGTTTCCTTTTGAACCTTCCCATTTTCCTGCTTCTGCTTATATATCAAGACCGCGTCTGCCCTTGGTCTGGGTGTACCTTGACCTTGGGTGTCTTGGTTGTTTCCTCTACATGCTCTGAGAGCTGGGCACCCCCATGGATGGGCACCAGGGACTTGACTGGGAGACTCGACTTGATCGCTTCTCTGGGTGTGTGGTCAACCCTTGCCTCTGGCACCGGGAGCCAGGGATGCTCTCGGCCTCGCTGCTTCGTGCTTTCCTGCGTGGCTGTCTGGGACAGGCCCTTCTTCACGTCCTTCTCCTCACCCACGTCTTCTTTCTCTCCCCAGAGTGGCATCTCTGACCTCCCAGAACATCATGATTCATCGTGGCCAGACCCAGGCGTACGTGCTCAGGCCCAAGGACTTTGCTGCCCGGAAGGTGATGACCAGCGAGCAGGCCACGGAAGGAGCCTTCCCCCTGAGGTCCAGGCAGGAGCTGGGCTCTGCGCCTTTCCAAGGTGAGTATGGACGGAGATCACTGCCCAGGCTGGGCACCTTGCTTGGAGTCGCTCTCGGGGACGGGGGCTGCGTTTAGTGTCCCAAGCAGGTCACATTCCTGGGCTGTGGGAAAGACCCGGTATAGATCATCTGTGTATGGGCTCCTCCAGCGAGCGCCTTCCTCTGAGGAAAGATGGATGTCCATCTCGGATGTCCAGGAAGATGCTGAAGGGAGCGCCCTGGGATCTCAGTCTCCTGTCAGCTGCTTTCCTGTGGGTCCGATGTGTGTCAGTGAGGACTGCATTCCCTCAGAAGCAGCCTGTGGAGATGGCAGAAGTGCAGGTGTGACCTACCAGCCCCCCCTCAGCGGTGTTTGTCTGTCAGGAATCTCACTATGTCGTGTCCCAAACAGACAGTGAGTGTCCCTGCCACTGGGCCTGGCTCTCGAGTTAGCGTGGCCAGCAGCTCCCTCTGTAGGGAAGGTGTGTGGCCGGGCTCTGTCTGACAGGGAGGACAGCTGAGTCCTCCCAGGCAGAGTCTTCCTTCTGGCAGCTTCCAGCTCTGTCTCGCATTGATGGAAGTGAATGGGCACTGAGTGGTGGACTTTGGCCACCTATAGCAGCGAGAAGGGCTGGACTGTGTTGGTGAGCACTGGGTTCCCTCCGCCCCCTGTGTCCCTCAGACTCATTTGTATAGCTCTGCACTGCACTGTCCTCCCGTTGTTGACCAGTTTGCTCGAGCAGGTACCAGTAACGTCTCCATTGTGAGACTTGTCCTTACTGTGTTTGGTATATTGAATATGCCACGGGGAGCTTGCCAGGCTCTGCTGTGCGGGCGGGATACTCTCGGTAGCTTGCTGGGCTCTTCGAGAGGGGTGGAGGAATCGAACCCAGGTTGGCAGTGTGCAAGGCAAATGCTCTACCTGCTGTGTTATCGCTCCGGTCTGGACTCATTTAGATATGAATAAAAAGTAAAATATATATATACACATACATATATGTATGTGTATATCTGTATCTGTCTCTATATAATCACTGTGAGGCACACAGTTACAAAGGTGCTCATGGTTGAGTCTTAGTCATACAATGTTCCATCCTCAGCGTACATGTCCCATCAACATGTCCCCAGTTTCTCTCCTGCCCCCCTCCCCACAGCTTACCTCTATGGCAGGCACTTGTCTCTCTCTTGTTCTCTTACTTTCTCTCTCTGTCTCTATCTCTCTCTCTGTCTCTCTCTCTCTCCCTCCCCTTTTGGGCATTATGCTTTGCGATACAGGGTCCTTTCAGCACCCCGTTCTTGTCCAGAGTGATCATTTCCAACTATCACTGTCACGGGGGTCCCTTCTCTGTCCTAGATGCTCTCACCCACCACCACTTGCGGCGAGCTTCCAACCGTGGACCAGTCCTCCTGGCCCTTGTTTCTACCACAGACTCTGTCTATTCCAGACTCTGTCGCTTCAACACGAGCTAAGACATCTCTGCCCACTGGCCTGAGGCTCTACCCCAGAGCAACTGGTGGAGGTCAGTTATTGGGGAGATGAGGAAGAAGGGGAATCCTAACTCCTGTCCCTTCAGGCAAGAACGTCTCCATCTGGCCTTTCAAGTGCCTTTGGTGTAAGTGGTAACGCTTGGTTCTTCCATGTCAGCCAAAGAAAAGAGGTTCTTCTTACTGACTTGGAGTTTTGTAGAGGTCGAATATGGCTCCAAAGCCTTCTCCCAAACTGGGGCAGCAGGAGAGAGTTGGAAAGCTTGTGGTCTTGGCATGGGGGGAATTCGAACTCCATGACAGGCCGAGGAGAACACGCCTGAGAATCACGGCTGTGAAGGCAGGAAATGACTGTGGTTCTGGTTGGTTATTGATGATTTGTTGTTGGAATGGAAATTCGCACAGTGCATGTGCATTTTATTTTTATTTTGGGTTTTGAGGTAACACTGGTTTATAAGACTGTATGTTTTGTGGGTATAGTTGCCCATCTTTAAAATATATGTCATCGACCATCATCTTTGTTCACCCACCATCATCTTTGCCCGGAATGAGAAAAGGTGGCCCATACGGAGTGGAAGGTTGGTTAGTAGGTCTGTGGCGTTGGTCTCCTGCAAACGGTAAGAACGATGCGTTCCTGGAAATCTCAGCGTTGTATCCCGGGATTTGCAGCACTGTTAGCCCCAGTGAAGAGAGGGTTGAGGTGGGTCTAAGAGAATCGTCCAGAAGCAGAAGATAGGATGAGGATGGGTATGGTAAAGCCGGAAGGCAGAATGTGTCTCCCCTCAAGGATGTTGGCGTCTGGGGTGAGGGTTTCGTGAGGCCACAGACGGGTCTGGCCTTGGGGGTCCTAGGGAAGTTCTGTGTTCCCAGCTGCTCCCCGCAACAAGAGAAGGGACGGGCCCTGCCACGTGGTTAGGGAGATGTGCAAGAGAGTTGCTTTTTTGCCACAAAGCACTGTTGAGTTAGGGGGACGAGCAGTTGTTGTTCTAGATGGTTCTATGTATACCAGATGCCATAGCAGACAAGAGAGACACGATTTCGGGTGCCTGGTGTTGGGGCTCCATCCTGAGGCGCTTACGCCAAGCAGTCAGCAGCCCCCCGAGCCCCTGGGTGGTCGGTGAGCCTTAAGCCCACCCCAGATAGTGTGGACACACCCACACACTTAACCAGGTACACAAGTGTGCGTCCTGCGTAAACAGCCGCTCTTGGGAGCTGTGGGCACTGTCCAGCCTGCAGGACATTGTCATGGTCCTCTCTGGGCTTCTTACGGTTGCATTTGTGACAAACGCCCGTGAGCTGGAAACCGTCTCCTGTAACTGGCCAAGGAGCGGCCCTGAGCAGCTGGTGTTCCCGTGGCAGTGACCACAGTCTCACAGCAACAGGAGTCTCCTGGCTCACGCCCTGCTCAGACCCCATGCCCGCCGTCCTGTCCCTGGTGCTCCATAGCACAGTTCCACAGTTCCTGCTTCACTTTATCTATTTATTTATTTTTAATTTACTTTTTTTGCTTTTTTGGGTCCCACCTGGCGACGCTCAGGGATTACTCCTGGCTCATGCACTCAGGAATCACCCCTCTTGGTGCTCAGGGGACCCTATGGGATGCTGGGAATCGAACCCGGGTTAGCCACATGCAAGGCAAACACCCTCCCCGCCGTGCTGTCGCCTCCAGCCCTCCTTGCCTCATTTTAGATGGGGACAGGATAAGCCTCCGCTTAGCGTTTTTATTTCTATCTGATCCAGTTGACAGTTTCCCCCTTTTCTTGGCATATGCTGGTGATCCATGGCCGGCCAGTTGGGTATGTCCATGGATGTTGAATGCTGGGACACTGGGAGACGGGGTGCCGCCAGGGCTGTGGGTGAAGGGGCTGGGGCAGGGAGCACACTGAGGATTTAACTGGGGTCCCGTGCTTTGTGTGCGACCCCTGTTTATTTCTCTCCCTCTGCCGTCATGGAGAGCAGGGTGATTCTGGTCCTGAGGCTTTGTGTTGTCGTGACTCTAGCTGCTTGCTGGGCCCAGGGACAATGAGCTGAGTTCCAGCTCAGTGCGGGGACAGGGAGCTGCACATCGAATGACTAAGAGTCTTCGACCTGCATCCCCTGCCATGGGTCCTTTTCCAGAAATCAAGAATGAAAAATGTCCATCTTAACAAATCAAAATGTGACTCTCCTTCTGACCTCTTGCCCTGGGCTTCTCCGTGGGTCCTCAGGACATTCCCGGCCTCTGTCTCCAGGCCACCCCAGGGGTGTGGAGGTGGCCTGACCGTGTGCAGAGGTGCGGCCAAGGCTCGGGAGAGACTGCTGTGTCCCCGTCGTCTCCTATGACTAAAGCCCATGTCTGCCCTGCCCAGGAGCCAGTTCCGGCCACGGCTTTGTGAGATCAGCCTTGCCTGGGCCACAAACTGGATTCGGAAGGGAACCCGGGTGCTAGTCTCCACTGCTGCTGATCTAAGAGGGCCCTGAAAAGCAGAGTCAGAAAGTTTTTTTTGTTTTTGCGATGCTCAGGGGTTCCTCCTGGCTCTGCATTCAGGAATCACTCCTGGCGGTACTTGGGGGACCCTATGGGATGCCAGGGATCGAACCCAGGTCAGCCGCGTGCAAGGCAAATGCCTTCCCTGCCGTCCTACTGCTCCGGCCCTAAGAGTCAGAAAGTTTGAGATGTTGTGCTGGGCGTCTTCACCTCCTGCCCACGGTCGTCTCGACAAGGGTCAAGGCTTAGGCGAGAAAGCAGTGCACCAGGGGCCAGGAAGGGTCCCATGGGCAGAAGCATGTGAGAGCCCTCAGGGGGAGGGGGTGGTCTCTGACACCGATGGTCCCCTGAGTGCTGCTGGGAGGAGCCCCTGAGCACTGCCGGCCCTTCCCCCCTCCAAAGTGGACAGCGGTGTAGAAAAAACCAGCCCGGACTGGCTTAGCTCCCTCTGCCTCTCGGAAGATAAGAGCAGAAGAGCGTTCCCGGATATGGGGAAATGAATCAGATTCTCTCTGGGACTTTCCAGCCCCGCTCGGCCCCAGCAGACACAGAGGCGAGGGCCAGGCAGAGGCGTTCGCCCGTGGACTCTGGGGCCGTGAACGCTCGTCCGCGCAGCTTCCTGGTACCACCCTCTCACTGGAGATAACTGCTGGGCTCTGGTGCCAGCGGGTGCTGCCCTCTTCATGAGGTTGCCCAACAGCTGCCCGTGTGTGATGACTCAGCGCCGAGGGCCTGCTCGAGGGCGGCCCCGGCTGCCAGCTCCCCGCCCTCCCTCCTCGCTGAGGGCCTGGCCAGCCTAGCCTGCCCCAAAGCAAACTTTGAAGGACGCTGGGGCTGGGTGGGCGGGGCGCGGGGTGACTCAGTGCACTGTTATCCGTAGACCCCTGATGCATTTCGTCCTTCGGACCCGAGCTCAGTGTGGCAGCCTGTCCGGATGCCCACTTGCATTTTTGACAAGAACATTCTGGACCCTCAGGTGGTCCCTGCTCACATGCACTAGAGCTGGCCTGGGTTGGGCCGTCCGTGAAGGTGGACGGGCATCTTCTCCCAAGACTCCAGCAATGCCACCATCCTGTTGGACGTCGGGAACGTCCTTCACATCAGCTCAGGGGAATCCGTTACACCGAGATGCTGCGTTTTCAAACACCTTTTTTCCCCCCTTAATTTTTATTTTTTGCTGCTGTTGTCTAGGTGTTTGAGCTACACTCGTCAGTGCTCAGGGCTTACTCCCGGCTCAGTGCTTTGGGGTCACTCCTGGTGGGACTTAGGAGACTAGATGCCAGGGCCTTGAACCCGGACCAGCGTGGCCAGGCCATCTGCCTACCCAGGGGACCATCTCTCTAACTCCTTAAGTGCGGTTTTAAAAGTGATCATGGTTTTTTGTCAAAGACTGCAG